CCAAACAAAACACAAACAGGAATTAATGGTGTGACGATTGCTGTTTCATATTTTTTCCTCCTAGGGGAAATAAAGATCAGTCCTGATGTCAGTGAGTCAGGTTGATGGATTAAAAACTGAAATGTCCACAATGACCCAACAAGCCAAGTGTGTGTGTTGCACCACTTCACACCTGCTCTTCAGCTAAATCGGTAACAAACGAGTGACAGGAAAAAGATACCTTGTTATTTTGAATCAAACAGGATAAGAACCCGACATGTTCTGTCTGTGTTCAACAATCCCGGAGACCATCGACAATCCTTTCACAACGAATTAGCTTCAGGTAGCAGCGGCTAATGTTTCATAACTTCCGGTGTAAACAAGCGGATATCCGGGTCAAGACTCAGTCCACAGATTACAGAACAGCTCGTTTAATGCATCACACGAGTTGTTTCTCAACACAAAACAAACTGCGACACTTTTTGTTGTTGTTTCCATTGTAGGTGAATCTCCAATAACAACTATAGACAGCCAATAGGAACCACATTCCACAGCTCCAACACCAGGCGACTACGTTAGCATGTGTCAAAAACACACGGTGAACACAACCGAAACATCTGCGGCTGACACACATGCTAACTCATGCTAACAATACAAACATAATACGTCACATGAAAGCTGACACTCTGCAGATTTCCACTGTATATTTATCTCCGCTCTACGATCAAAACTCACCGAGGCAGCAGCCGAAGAAGAGAAACTATGTCTGCTCACGCCTCCACCTGCTTACTCCACATCAGGTGCGTTTACTTCTTCTTCTTCGGGGTTCAACGGCAGGTCACATCCACGGTGTCGCATAACTGCCACCTCCTGGCGTTATTTATATTTATCTCCTATGATATCCGGATTGTAGAATAAATCCTTCCTGCCTCGTCCACTTCCATCTTCATTAACTCAGTCACATCTATACTGATGCTTTCACCTCTGCAGGAATCTTGCTGGACTTCAGACCATCCGTCCTTGACATCCCTCCATGCTCTTTGCAACAGGCGTCAGTCTTTTACCAGCCGATGGATCTACGTCTCCCGTTCTGTGTGGGAACGGTTCTTCTTTGCCTTCCTCATAGATGATGTGACTAAGCACTAGATCCACATTTTTATTTGAATCAGCAAAAAAAATCAGATGTGTTTTCCTATACCACATTCACAGAAAGGAAAGATCTTTGAGTTTCTGAGGTGAGACCATTTTCAAATGAACCACACAAACAGACACATTGGGACTAAAAAGCAGAAGTTTCTTTATTGCTTTGGTCTACAACCTGTTCTTGTAGCACTGTCTCTACATCAAAAATCAGATTCAACACTGCTGCACGTTTTCAGATGTTTCCTCAGAGGACTCCTATCTCAGCCTGCCTTTGGCCTTGCCTCTTCCCTTGGCGCTGTGGAGTCACAGACAAAAACTATGTTAGCAAAAACAACCATTCTGGACTTAAATAAAAATGACCTGCAAGAAATTAATTATGAAGATGTTGAAATAATCTTCACAATAAGATGAGTTTTGAAAAAAAAGAATGAATGGAGAGTAACCAACTGAGGAGTATATGCATTTTTTTTGCATACAAGTCTTCAAAAACGAAGAATCAATAACATTGCTGCTTAAATAGTATACAATTAGGGAATTAATTGACCAATAATAAATAAATAGCTTTGAGCACGTCACAGTTTTTGCTACTGATTAACTTAAGTTGCTATACTAAAGAAGATTTACCCATGTGTAGGACATGACTTGATTGTTCTCCTTCAACTTTAAATACAGCGAAATAGTGAGCGCCTACTTCTAGAACACTTGTGACAGGTTAATTCCCCATTTCATTTTCTCTATTGTCATTTTAGAAAATCATCCTGAAATTAGTTTTATTGCTGGATCCAGGCGTTGCAGCTACAAGATTAATCGTAACAATATAATATTTGATTCAGAGCAAAAAGGCAAAGGTACAACATCATTTCAAAAGAAAGAAGCTTGTGGTAAATCTACCTTGGATGGTTATAATATAAAAATTGTATAATAGCAGAAAATGAACAGGATTTTACTTCTGGAACCACAATGTGGAGCTCTATAACAGAGACGATGGCAAACACTAAAGCAGCATGCTATTAAAGAAAGGCAATGCATGCAATTCCACACAGAACCCAGCTGCAGCCTTACCTTTCACACCCTGTGTTTGTTGCTGTCTTTTTTGGTCCTTTAACCTTAAGATCTGATATAACCACAGTTTAATTGAGCAGATAACTGATTCAAAATGCAGAGTGCAAACACTAAACAGCTGATTCCACAGAGATGACATTAACTATGTTTTACAAACCTTTTCAAGAGACTCTATTCCAAGAATGGTTGTGCAGATTGATCACCAGTTGAACATTTGTAACAGATACTGATATTGTATCCAACTGTGTATCCATACGCTCATCTCCCCTTCCAAGTGTTTAGGAGAACTTATAGTGATAAAGTAAAAAGGTGAAAGACCCTCTCTATAGCCCATGTTTGGTTTGTCCATTCTTGGCTATTAACATGTCGGCCTCCTTGGAGGACGACCAGCTCTGATGTAGATATAAAGGGCTCATTCTAAGGTAACAAAAACACGACTATTCTTAGTTTCAGATGATTATACATGAACAAAAACATGATATCAATATCATATTCCATTTCTGCTGAGAGGTTGTCTAATTCCTAAACACTGTACCTTAAAATGAGGTCCAGCTCGTTTTAAGAAAAAGACTAAGCACTGATTTGAGTTTCCAGGTGGCTGCTACGTACCTCTGGTGGTCCTGAATACGAGCCTGGAGCAGACTGATCTAGAGGAAACAAACATGGACGACCGGCTGAGGACATCAAGAACAGCAGACACAGATGGACAGCGGCTAAGCCAAAGATCAGACCTTGTGGTCGTAAAGAGGGGCTCAGCAGGGCAACACATGTTTACCTGGCATCCAAAGAATTTCATCGGCAGATGGGGACTCACATCTAATCGTCTTGACTGAGCTATCAGTCAACCAAATCCTTAGGGAAAGGCCGCAGAAGCTCAGAACTGCAGTGTTTATTGTGGCATTTTGGGTGTTCTTGCATCATGAGCAGTCAAAATGTCCCTTTCAGCTATAACTGAGGGATGAGACACTGACAGCAAAATGGGACTGAGATCAAATGTTCAGCGTCAAACAGACGCAATTATGTTGTGGAGACACTCGAGGGATCTTATTTTCGATCAGATAGTGCAAAAATATTTTATTCCTGAAAGTTTGTTGATTTGAGGTAAACAAAATCAACGCCTCCAGATACTACATTTTAGGAAAGAGACTTTTTCACTGATTAAAATGAGAAGATTGATACCACTCCATGATACCAATTCATTCTTTAAATGGTGCATACTTCAGTGGTAATACTAATACTGAAGCAACAGAATATCGGACTTTTCGGACAACAACCAGTTTCACCTACTGTGTGATCCCTGCTGCCCAAGACTCGGTTTGTGACCCTCCAGCACACAAACAGCAAAAACTACACAACCAAGAGCCTCACACTCCTCATTAACTGTTACTCACAACTTCTGCTGCTCAGCGATTCGGGTCTGGAGCACATTGATCTGGAAGTCAGGCCACATTCATTTTAGATAGTTGCCCCGAGGACAGTCTTGCATTAGTAGTTCATATGTTTCAGTTTTCACATCATTATATCATCATCACATCATATAAGTACATAAATCAAAGCTTAATTATATAAACAGTATGTTAGCTAAACTAGATTAGACACATTATTATTTCTTTGATTTCCTTGTAAAACAAAAAAACTAAATTGCAAAAATCTTGCAAGCAAAGCCAAAATTTATGTGAGAAAAAAATGGTTTTAATTTATTTTCCATAATTTACAAGAGGGTATTGATGCCACTATCATATTTGGATGGAGCTGGAGCCAGCTGCCATCTAACTTAGCTTAGCATAAAGACAGGAAACAGATACCCTGGCACTTCTAAAGTTTACTCGATAGTAGCTGTGTGTCAGTTCAGGAGCTGAATTCTTCTGAGGACGCTGTCAACCCCACTTTCCACTGATAACATGGTTAAAAAAAGCAGCTTGGCTCTTCCACAGTAGTTTGGACAAAATGATTTTCACTCATGTAATTTTAGAGAGTAATCACCACATGAACATCCCGAGGCAAAGTACTTACATCATATTTCTGTCTCTTCAGTTTCTCAGTGAGCTCATACTTCTCTGCCTCCAGTGTCATTAGCCACTGCCACAGCTCATTGCCTTTCTCCCTGTCGAGCACAAACTAGTTAAGAAACAGAAAACTAAAAGACCATGTCCAAACTAATACAGGGAATGGGAAGTTGATGGTAGTTTACACACAAACATATCACATGCATCACACTGGAAATGTGGCCGACTACAGAGCTGTGAACAATAACTGTTCTCAGTAAAAACTCACTTCAGTTTGTCCTCACTGAGGTGGTCGATGTTGAGAGGCTTCCTCCTCTCTGCCAGGATCTTCCTTTTCTTCTCTCGCTCTGTCTGCTTCTTAGCTCCCTTCTTGCCGTCCTGTTTGATGAAGGAATAAATACAGGAGGAAAGGATGAAAGAAGCCAAATTCAACACAAACTTAGAGAACATTTCTAAACTCAAATGCATGTTTGTGTGCCGTCTGACCCTTTGTTGGATGCCGGCATACTGGTGAGTCATGTTTGTCAGAGCTTTCCTCTTCTTGGCGTCCTCATCCTGCTTCTTACGTGCGTCCTCCTGCTCCTTCCTCTCCTTTTCCTCCTGCAGCACAGATTGTACAACATGATTGGGGGAATAGAAACACCTGTTCGCCGTCCAACGACTTAGGTAACCTTTAGAGTAGCTGCAAGAAAATCTGTTCATCATAACAACGAGTTTCATATTGATTTCTAACAACATGTTCTTGGCCTCTTGTGGGCAGCGAAACAAGCTGTAAACACAACACTGACATAGAATCACTACGTTGATACCATATAGTTGTCCATTTAGCTTATATGGAGCTGGGCAGGAAACAATAAATATTGCAAAATATTTTCTTATCAATAGCAATATAATAAAAATATAAATATACTGCTTATGTCATGTGCAAATACAGTGAGTGAATACATTATTTTACCTCAGATTTGTAAAATGTTTTGCCATTTATCAAGTGTTTGTCATTCTCTGAGTTTAAAACCTTATTCTGGAGAAAGAATCAGTTTTTAAACTCAAAAGACCTGTGGAGGATTTGTGGTTGAAGGAATCATGTGTTACATCTGGACACAATTATATTTACTAAATCAAACAAAGAGGGACTTTTTCAGAAAATCTGGCAGCCTATCATTCCAAAAATGTAAGTGAACTGATCATTGTCTGACTGGTTTACTCAATCTTTGTGTCATTGGTCAATAAGTGTTAATTTATGAACATCTTCTTTTTGTGTCACCAACAATGTGTTTATTACTGCATAGATGAGAGGAACTGATACTTCTGTGTGGGTTTGTCACACTCAAAATATGAATTTGTGCACCTTTAAATTAATTAATTCAGCACTCCTGACATACTGTACAATGTGTGAATGAAATCTTATAGAAAAGAGTCCTTGAAAAGTAAATTCATATCTGTGTCATTGGAAAGCTGCATAAAAATAAAAGCTGCAAGGGGCAGTTCTGTATGTGACAGTCAACAGCTTCACACTTCAAAGACCGGCCTTTCTCTGCTGCTTTGCAGGATTTCACAATAAAGAAATATAGGTGAAACATAATGTATAGGGTATTTCTCCACTGTTGATTAGGGGCTTTTACATCCAGTATCTGTCACTTCCTGCAGCCTGAGAAGATTGCTCACCAGGACACACACAGCCCTAACTCCCTAATCGTATTTGGGACACTAGGTGGAGCTGCAGGGTGCGAGTTGTTTATTTGTTGTATACAGCGTCATGTCCTGAAAAAGATGAGATGACTGTGATTACTCACAGCAACACGGGCCTGCCTCTCTTTCTCCTGCTCAGCATGGATCCTCTGCTGTTCAGCCCTCTCAGCACGACGCTTCTCCTGCACATCCACACACAAACACATGGTGTGATTCAATGCATCACTCTGGTGATCTTGGCCAGCGTTCCTGGAAGACTTACGATCCTGTTAACGAGAGTGATGAGTTCCTGCTCGTCCCTCTTCCTCTGGATGAAGTGGGCCTCGATCAGAGAGTGCAGCTCAGCAAGATCCTTCTCCTGACGCTTCTTCTGGATGTCCTGCAGCCACATACACACGTTTGAAGTGCTGTTCTTAAGGGGACCTCCACCCACCCCTAAAATTCCTATTAAGACCTAGTATCTGTTCACAAAGGCCTAAACCTTCCACCGCAAATAACAATAGACTATGACACCTAATTCCTCAAAAATCTAGACCTACGCAAGAAAATCAGATGGATACCAGCCCCAGTATAAGTTCTCCGATTTCCACAAACATTTCCAGGGAAAAATCTATGGATCTTAATGGAAAACAATCAGATATATTTAGGAGACTGATAATTATCCAGAATTCATAGCAGTGTGTTTTGTATCCGTGTTGCCTTAAGAAATAGTTTGACTTTTGGGAATTACACTTAAAGACCTTCTTTCTGTGCACTAAAAATAAATGTCAAGTCGGTTATCTTAGCTTCGAATGGCACAGCATAGCACAGAGACTGGAAACAGAGGTAAACAGCTAACCTGGCACTATCGCAAATAAAATAAGAAAAGTCATCCGAATATATCTTGATTGTTTCACCTGTACAAAAACTGTTGGTGTGAGAACTGTTTGCAGTCTTTAGGGCAAGCTGCTGTAGGATCACATTTCTGAATAAATTAATCATATCATCAAATCCCCAGATGTCAAACTTTTCTTTTGAAACGGCATCAATCACTCACATCAAAGTCGACTTTCTCTCCCTCTGGTATCTTTGGCACAGCCATCACTGGAGCAAACGCTCTAAAATAAAACATTACTGGGTTAGAAGAAGAAGAACTTTAACTAGTTTGTCAGCAGTTGAACGATATAAATAGTTTAAAGCTAACATGACTTACTTTGGTTTGGGTTTTGAGTCATCTATTGTCGCGTGTGAAAAGAAGGGACAATCACAGTTAAGATACCACCTTATGCTTAGGATATTTTTAAGTTATTTATCTAATGGATTTTGTTTTTAAGACTAAAAAATGAATATTGACAAAACAGCACATTTGTATAAATTCTGCATCTCACGTTACACTGTTTGATCCTTGATACATAAAATACCAGTGCTCACTGAGCCTGACTCGCTCCCGTGGTCTGGGAACATCTGAGTAACAGATTATTAATCACTGACCCAACAATAGAGCAACAATACAATACAAACACCCTCAACACACACTCTGACATATGTACTGTGTCGGGGAATAATCACTTTCTGGATTCAGCACAATGGTTTTTGTATTTTTTGTTACATGCTCTGTCAGTAGCCATTTCATGCATGATGTCCAGTGCAGCTGTCACATAATGAGCAGCATGTGTAACAGAATTCACTGCTCGAACGAGGCGATCGTCATAATATCCCAATATCCTGTTTTTGAAATAACACACAGCCTTTACTCTGGCAAGTGTTTGTGAGCATGTGTTGCACAGTCCTTGTTTTGCAGCAGTGGTCAAACACACAACTGCTAGACTACAATTAAGATCACAAAATCCTCCTCAGCAGCATTACAGTACCTTCTTCTGCAACTGGAGACTCTACAGCAGAAGAAGAAAAAAAAACTGTTAGTGCATCAGCAGGCGGAACACAAATGGATTTACTTTATTATTTGCAAATGCCATTTTCTCTCCATGCTGATATCAGCTTTGTATATTTTGTTTTGGAAAAGTTTCCTGACTTTCAGGAGAAGAAATAGAAAGTCTACGTCTGTAAGCTTTTTCATATTGAGTTTACAGTGGAGGTATTATCTGGGTTTCAGGGCATGAAAGCTTTACCTTCAGACAGCGGAGGCAGTTCTTTTATAAAAGTGTTTTATCTAAATAAATATAAGGGCATAAGGGGAAAAATAAAAAAGCAAGGTATTTACACCACATATGAATTCATCTGCAACAGGGAACTGAAAACTATTATCATTTCCAACAAACTTAAGGTGTAAGATCTTCTCTCTTGAACTCAGTGACTGTGAAACATGGTGGGTTACGGAAGTCAGGGTGATAGTGTTATGTAGTCACACCATGTATTAAAGCTTCTAAACGAATATATCCTACCTTCTTCTGCAGGCTCTTTGTGGAGGGGATGTGGGCAGACAATTCAATGATAGATGGAAGAAATGGAGAACAGATTATCAGTTAATATTCAGTGTTATTTAGCTCAAATGTATGAACATTAACTAAGGTAATGGTTCAGCCAAAATGTGCAGCAAAATGAAAGCAGAGGGAAGTTTTATTCCATTTATAGTATTTTTTCTTTATTCTTCTTAATCTTCTTGCATGTTACTTATACTTTACTGATGTCAATTTCTGACTGCCCTTGCTGCTCTAACATTGCAAATGTCCCTGTTGTGGGGCTAAAAGAGGGGTATGAAATCTTATATTCTCTTATCTTATCAAATATCAAATCACAATGCTTTTAACAAGAAAAGCATAAGTTCAAGTCAAAGTCTATCGTTGATTACTTCACTAAAAAATATGACAGTAGAACAAGTCATTACCTTCAGCGGTGGGAGGAGGTTCTGAGGTGGTGAGAAATAATGATTCAATAATTACGAGAGCATGATTAGATGCAATAAGACACACAGTAGAATAAACAAACAAGATGATGAAGAGGTTACAAATGAAATCATACATTTTCAGATGTTTATATCAATTTTTGTATAGCCAATATTCAGAAATCACACAGGGCTTAACAAGATGCAACATCATCTGTTCTTAACCCTCAACAATAAGGAAGAACTACCAAAAACCTTTTAGGGAGGAAATAATCTTCTGCCAGTAAATAGATAAAACAGCTGAAATTCAAACAATAATCTGAAGATCTTTTTCTTGCATCCCAGTTCTAATTATTTGTTTGAGTTGAGCAGAGACACACTTTTCACAGAGCACATACCGGGTATCTAATTTTGAATGAAAACATCAAATACTAACTCAGCAGGCGGCTCATTAGAGGCTAAATATCACAGTGATTAGTGAAAACTGAACATAACGTTGATAAAGGTAAATGAGAGGCAATTACATTTTGACTGTAATGTGCAGGCAG